AGGTCGAAAATCTTCTACAATGAGCAAGCTAGACAAGGGAAAGTTTGGGAAAATCTATTGAGCATGGCGTGAAGCGGCAAAGCTAGTCAAATACTCCTTGTACAGTGGATCATACTGCTTGATCATATCAGAATAACTATGGCGCTTACCGTTCCGCCCCTTTACCTCGTAAACCTTTGACTCATTGCGTTTGCCCTATCATCTAGAGAAAAATATCACTGCCTGATATTTTAACTAGCTAGCGAAGCTGCGTGATATTTTAATGCACTTCTGTCTCGCTCTCGCTTCTTCGGAACACCTTCTTCGAACTGCAGGAGTATATATACTGCTTTGGACATAATGACATTCATTCAGTGACCCAAATGTCCCAGAAATGTCGTCTATGACACAGATGAAATAAAAGTGAGATTTAGCTTAATGTCCTCCCCAGCTTTCATGCTGAACACACGGTTTCATAGGTTTATTTAACTCTTCTACTAGGTTTCACCAAAGTCCTCGCTAGTGCTTCAATAGAGTGGGTCAGTTGAACTTGTCCTTAAATCGTGTCTTTAACATATTTGAAGTTTTCACTCTGATGGGTAGACAAATGTTTCTAAAATAACATTACTGAGGTTAGTTTTAAAACATTGTTGAGGAAACTAAACAAACTAAACCACGCCGGTGTTAGAACTTTAGTGCCAATGCATTTCCGTAGATGCCCGTTATAGCATCGTCAGGGTACAGCTGATATCAGCTCACCAGGGTGCTTACATCAGTGCATGTGGTCTCCTCAACTACTGATCAATAACGTACCAAAAAACTAAACGAAAATGCGTCGTTTGTTTTGCTAGCAGAAGCAGAATCCCCGAAGCCCTTGCGAATGATTGATACAAGCCACTGTTTTCCTCAATACTATTCGCCGCGTTGAGAAGATACGCTTTCCAATGTAGGCAGAGAAGCGCTGTTAGAAATTTCCTCATTGCTGCAGCATGTTTTCAATGACTAGCCCTCTCCCTGCCTCGTTCTTTGGTATGCACTTCAAAGTGAAAAGAATTGTTTTTATCCGCAGTGAAGATACTGTAGACAGCAGGCAACGTGCACACTGGATTCGATTGTTGAAACGTCCAGAAAACCGTGGGCGTTGGTTACAGTATCAAAACACAACTTCGTCTCTACTCCGCGTAGCGTGACTATCACTTCAGGAAGTTTGAGCTAATG